CAGCATAGGGACCTCAATTTCCCAAATCAGTTCATTTGCTAGAGGATTCGCACACATTTTCCGTGGCATGATTTTACTCCTGGGATATTGCTTTCAGTGTGAGGTCCCCCCACAACCCCAAAGGAAGTATGCCCAAGATTGTGGCCTTATAGAACAGGCACAGACCGATTGATGAAAGGTAAGCCCTGATTTTTTTTTTCCATGCAGGTAGTTTCTGGGTAGGGGTACAGTTGCGGTCCCTCCGCCCCACACTTTCCTAGCCAAACAGGAGCAAATAACGGGAGGACCTTTGTGGTTTGGAGAGGCAGGGATTTATCCCCCAAAGAGCAACCAGGGATGTGTGGAAGGGCGCCTGGAAACGCTTCTGAGCACTGCCTACCTTTGAGTGTCTGAACCACTGGCAGCTGTTTTTTTCCTGCATTGCTTCTGATGGAAGTGTCCAGCACCAGATGTTGGGCTAGAGACAATGCCAAGCCATTTACAGTATACTTGGGCACTGCCAGACAGTGGGACAGGTTGGCTGCCCTGGGAGGTGACAGTCTTCTTCTTGGAGCCAAGGCTGGAAAGCCACCCAACACAGACCCAACCTTCTTGGGGGCTGCACTGTAGCTCATCCTCGATGGGCTCCAGGACAGCCTCCAGCTCACTTCCCCAGGTCGGTTAAAGCCCTGCAGGCTTCATTTCCAACATCCTCAATGTCCTGAGTTTTATTCCTGATTGAGGTAGTGTTTGTGTGTGTGCCGAGCGGGCTGTGCAACCCCAGCTCGTTTAGTTAGGGTTGTTTAGCTCAATTAATTGTACAAGGCCAGAAAGATGGGTTAAATCAGGAACCAAGTAAAACGTGTTTTATGAACACCATCTGTAACTCTTGGAGAAGTTTACAAACCCACTTAGAGGCTAAGACACAAAGAAGAACTGGGGAGCATGAGCGAGTTCTGGTTAGCTGGATTCACACCACACAGATGTCAGGTGGGTGAAGTTAGTTCAGCCCCAGGCTTTTTCTGAGTTTTCTGGAGTTAAGGGACTGTTTTAGATTGTTGGAACATGTGCTGCCCCTGTCCCGCCCCAGACCAGTTAAGCATGTCCTGCTAACAGCGCTCTGAAGATCTCTGGCTTTCCTGCTCAGATGCACCAGAGTGCCTAAGGCCATCTTACAGGCATTTTGTGGAAGGTTGCAATGGCCCAGAAGTGTCACCCATCGGACACTGGGAGTAGACTTCCCAGGCCAGAGATGCAACCGGTAAAAGACATCAGGAATGTCCTCCTTGCCAGCCATACAGCCTCAATCTTATCTTCATCGAAGTTCGGTAGCTGAAAGGGGCTCCATTGGTGAATCCAGAAGCTTCCTTGCAATCTTTCTACAGACTCTACTTACTTCACCCCTTTCTCTCCAGGTAGTGACTGGCATGTGGCCTGTCTGGGGCAGAGCAAGGCGCTGGCGGGCAACCATCTGGCACAAAAAAATCCAGAGTCAGGGCTTTGCGGGGCGGCTGGCTGCTCCTTGGGCCTCCAGTGGTGGTGACCCTAAGATCCAGAGGGAAAGACCCGTTGATTGGTTGGGAAGGAGAAGATGGATTCCTGCATTGGGTGAGGAGTTTGGGTAATTGTGTGACTGAGCACATGTCGTGCTTTGCATCAGTCGACACTTTGTGAAGTTAGAATGTGTGGCCTTTTTTGAATAATTTTCTCCCAGCCAGATTCCAAGATGCTTGTCCAAATCTTCACATTCCTTTCGCGTTGTCGGGGCAGTGGCACCGGTTGGAGAAGGAGGAATCTGCCTCTCTCACGCCTTCCACATCTCCTACGGTTTGGGCCTGTACAGACATTTAATAAATGCATACATACACTAAAAGAAGCTTTTTTGTTTTTTGTTTTTCCAGTCTTAGGACAAAGAGTGAAACAAGATGAGGCTGTGGTCCAACAGCAGTTCATGTCTCAGTTCTGAAAGGATCTGTCTATTCTTTGATGTAGCCTACACTACAGGGTTGTTTCAGAAAGAAAGACAGACCAAAGTTCCTTCTGAAGTGCAATGGTGGTGTGTATACACGCCCACCAAGCACATAAACACTTCCAAGAAGGAAGGAGTTAGATGTTCTTCTCCTCCAGGACAATAAACCCTCCCCAATCCAGACCAGGCCAACTCTAAATTCTATGATCCTCACCCAGTGTGGCCCGGGCAGCGGATGATGGGCATTGTAGTGCGATGGGCGATCCAGCTTGCTGGAGGCTGCGCTAACCACTCTCCACCCACTGCGAGCTGTTAAAAAAGCCGGTTTCTGTTTCCTGCTTGGCTGCTTCTGATTAGGATTCACTTTAATCGAAAGCGTTTTCAGCTTCAAAAGATTATATTGACAACTCAATCTGCAGGCTGTAATGAAATATTTGGTTGATTTCTCGTGTCTCGGGGCTACTTTGCCACGCCCTCGCAACTGCAGAAGCTGGCGGGGAAATCCCAGACTGCTTTCAAAGGCAGGGGTGGGGGGGTGGAGGAACATAAAGCAATCACCGACATGCACTCCCACCAACAGAAAAACAAAAAAACATCCCTTAGGATTTGGGGGGAAAAATCATCAAGGAAATTATTATCATCATCATCATCATTATCATCATCTGCTATCCGCTGGACCTGTCCTTCTTAGGAGGGGCTTCTGTAAATAAAACAAAACTTCAGCCTGGCTTCGCTCGCTGAGGATCGAGTTCTTATCGGAAGGTTGTGAGCTACAAAGATCTCCGCCAAGCGAGGGTCTTCGTTTGCTCTGGGCCATCAGCGGAGTTCCCTCAACGGGGTCCTTCAGTCCAGCTGTTTCCTGGGTGTGCATAATAAAGGAGCAAACGTGGCTGGATTGGTGTAACTCGCTAAGCCACACCAACCAGCCAACCAAGCTTAACCCCAAGTTTAGACACTAGATCTGGTTAAGTGAGTCGTGTGAACAGCCAAGGTGTACTCTCAGGGCTGGAATCTGGAGCTGGGGGGGGGGTATTTTATTAATTTCCTTCTGAACGGCATTCGTTCAACGCGGGTATCTCAGCCCTCAGACGAAGGGGATGATTTCAGCCTCGCAAGACACCGGTGCACAGCCACCCAGAACGAAACAACTGTGCTGATAATGAAGCGGGTGGGAGAGAAACCGGCTTAACTTTTCGCTCGCTCCCATTTGCTTCCATTCGCTTCTCGGCGGCATTATCCAAAGCCGTGGAACGGGATGAG